CATCTATCACCTATAAGTTTCAACTTAATTAAGTAAAATTCTTTCGGCTTATATAAATAAATAGGTATGTCATATTTTTAAAATTCTTACTACTTCAATAACGAAATACTCGTTAATTATTTTACCGACTTACGATTTAATTATGCTTGTCAAGGGACATTTCAAAAGCGACGCAAAAGCGGAATGCATACTCTTGTTTGTTGACAATATAAATTATTATCTTTATCTGTCACAGATTACAACGTTTGCGTAATTAAATTTAATTGTCACAGATAGTAAGTCAAATGATAACAATTTTGTAATTTATCACTAGTCTATATTGGTAAATTTAGTTATTATAGTACCCATTTAGTATGTACCTATCTATTATTATTTTACAAAAAAACTGAAAGATCTGATTTAAACATTACACTGTATTTGCACATATTATATATTTAAAAAAAAACATATATGTACTACATACTGTATATGAATACTATTTCCGTCCTAGGTATCTCCTTTCGATATTAAAACAAGTAAACTTTTAAGCGAATTATTAAGGTCATCGGTTATTTATTATTGAAAATTCATATTATTAACATTAAATAAGGGTTTCTTGGTGCAAACTTCACTAACATAAAACAATACATACAGAATACCTAAACATTAGACGTCTTCTTTGTGGGCTTAAAATAGGTAGTAAGTAGTCGATGAAAATATTACGCATTAATGTTACAATATAAGCAGAAGGTACTGTATACCTACTTCATTAGAAATAACCAAAGAACGTGACTTCGTGTGTGAAACTCATAATAATGCATTGGAGCTCTTAAGCGTGAACTAGTCGTGATTTATTCCGTTTATTGAAACCACATTCACAGAATTACATTCACATTTGTACTATTTTTTTAATTACCAAATTCGCTTCTGGCGTCATAGATAATGATCTAGATTATGCAAATGATCGCTAACAGACATCGCTTATTTATTATCTATGCTTGAGCAGGGCGTCTCGTGTATGCCTTTATTTTATCAACAAAAGAAACAAATGAAGAAATTGAATGTGCTTTATATTTTGCATATTTAAATAAAAGTTTGAATTAGAAGGCAACTTTTTTGTGAGCTAAAGAATCTGTTTTTTTTTTATAGAGTTTAATCACGAAATTTAGTTAATCAGTAGATGTAATTACGACCACTGAGTAGTTTTTATATATTTTTGAAGAAGAACATTATTCGATACGACTGTATGTCATAATATTATAAATTAAAATATTTTTTCGATTACTAAATTCGACTGTAAGTATAACATACCAATCATCTTACTTGCAGCTCTATCTAAAGCCTAGTAGCTAAGCAAGTTTCTACACACGACGTATGCTGGTTTAAAAGCGCTTAAGGAACAAAGCTTTTTAAAGGACTAGCTAGATCTTCAGACTACGCTAAAGCTATAACGTCCAATATCTTAGCATTAGTTCGATAATCGTTATCGAAAGTTCGTTACGATTATAGAACTACTTACCTGCAATATTTAGTTCTAACAGGACTTAAAAATGTATAAGAAAGAGACGAATCACGATCCCACTTACCAGTGTTCCAATCAGATAAACAGGATGACAATGAACTTGACTCAGAACTAATTGGTATCAGATACCGAAGCACTCAAGCCAATACCGGTACAGGCGACCAATTTCACTTTTTTAACACTAGAATAAGGCCCTTTGTGTAAAAATACGTCAATCAATCCACAGATTCACAGGCACATAATCACATTTTGGTTAGATCCTAAAAGTTGCGTGGTCGGGTCTTATTTTAAAAAACGAACTCGAATCTCACCGGGAACAAAAATCAACACGGCGCAATGCGCGGACGCGGGCGGCGGGCGTTCTAAAACTGAACCAACGAGTGTGAAGTTGACGCACTCAAAACGTGCTCGAGCAGTCGGGCACGATCAACCCGAACGTAACCAACTTCACACTACATCGACCGATACATTTCGCTGCACTTATCGTAATTAACGAGATTGCGGTTTTAATATAGCGAATTTAATGTTAAACTATCGCACTCTGTAGATCATTTTTATTTTAAAAATAATATAAAGGTTAGAAATAAATCTATTTAGTTATTAATTTATTATATTTAAAATGATAATTAATCTCAGAATGCAATAAAACTACCGCCACGTAAAGTTCGTAGAGCATACTTCTTCGATTACTTTTTTCGTGTAAAAATTATTTTTATTTTTTACCCTACCTCTGCTTTAATATAATTTTCACATTATCCACAAAACTGCATCCATATAGGTCAAGGGTCAATAACCCCATCAATAAACTCCCCGTTACAATATATTTGAGAGCGAAAGAGTTATTTGACGTATTATAATGATGTAGTGTTATTACTTGGGCACGGGATGTGTTGCAAAAATAATTTAAAGTTTGTATCAGGAAATATGACATAACGAAGGAAGCCCCTGTAATGTAGAGCATGTGATAGCGATATTATATGGTACGCTAATTGATAAAATAAATTGAGATCCGCCGATTTAGATAACATAGTACTTTTTCAACTAGAAAGTATTAACTACTACGAAGATTTTATTTAGTCACTTACTTCTTGATGCACAAATGCAGGTACTTAATATTTAAGCGTCACAAGTCCTTGAGGTCTACCTGAAAATCACTACCTTGTATGGAAATAATCATTAAATTTTAGGTATAATTTCGTTAAGTGCCCAAAACGCCGCATTCACAGCTATATTTGTTAAACCATTATCTAATGTATTACGTATGGTAATACATAACAGTGTCATTTATTAACGTTTGACTACTTAAAAATATTTTTTAATAACATTAATACAAAGAAAATTATCTTCTAAGTACCTAAATTCTTCTTTATTCACAACACCAACAATAGCTCAACAGTATTAATTATTTTATTAAGTGTATTTATATTAAAAGGAAACGCCGCCTCAAAATAATCTAGATCTTTATTATATTTGTATCATACCATATTTTACTATGGGATATATAAGATTAACCCAGATGCCAACTAATTGATGCGCACAGAAAGAAATCTCGCTGACGTGCCAGAAATAAAAGTGTATACAAAATCAAATTAAGCCTATTAATCGATAAGAACTTAAAAGCTGTTCGCCACGAGGTCTGGCTTTTTTATAAATATAATTAATTGTATGTACTCCATAATCTATCATTCCAAAGATGTGGTTTTTCATTTGATCATCTTCGTTCTTTTCAAGTTGGAAATCGTAATTAAAGAATTGATCTACAAAATTCATCAACAGCGAAAATGCTGGTAAAAATAACGTTTTAGTGAAAAGTAAATGATCTACGCCGCCTTTCGGCTTCCCTCACGAAAACACAATTTCTTTTAATCTAGGTAATCTTCTGTCAATTTCCTTGCTTGCGGTGAATTTAATTAACATCTTCGGTTTTGCGAGAACTACGACGAGAACTTTTATTTCACTACAAATATAATATAAAGGTTAACTTGACGCTTTTGTTGACCAAATATGATAATCATATCATCTTAATATAGTTTATTCCTGACATACCAGAATTAGAATGTATACGGTGTGGTAATCAAAGGTATGAGAAAGCAATGAGTTGCTTTAACTATACGTAGATTTAGAAAAGGCGCCATCTATTTGTAATCTCTAACTCTAATATAATAAGTAAGTAATATCTACTTGCAATAATGTTTTAAATTTAGACGCATATCATTCGGCAAACATCAAGAGGGCTTTGCTACTTATCAAACAAAGTGTGACAAAACAGCTTTTATCTTTAGTATTGATATTGCACTGTCGCGACAATTTGTTTGTTTGATAATAGTTTGCAATTTCAAATAGTATCGGTCAGTCACATACACTTATCTACACAATAAATACTCTAAATAAGTTTGATAAATACTTTACCCGTTCAAGAGAACTATTTTGTGTCTCATTTTGCCACTGGGGAACCACTCTTTTCGCCCAATAGCCCTGGTATTGTTTTTCATGACGTCTGAGGATGGGGGCAAGGGCAGCGAACAATCAAGTAAGGCCCGTATTTATGAATGTCCCAAGTAAAAATTAGGTAATAGTATAAATTGATTAAATGTATAAAAATAAAACAAATTAAAACCGAAGCGCGACTATATGTAGAGTTTTCCATTTGCGGGAGGATTCCTGACTCGTGATGAAATTTCAGCGTTCCTTCTCCTACTAGCTTTCAGATTTTCCATAAGAAAACATGTTGAAATAGTGGAAATCAAACCCACGACCCATTGAGTTTTAGCCGTAACTACAGAATACAACCGAGCCTGTCTAAAATTTGCAAATTATATTTTTATGTTATTTATTTCTACAGCCTAACACAAAAAAGTTTAAGCAACTATAATAAATGAAATGTTATAAAAACAAAGCTTTGTATCGTATTCGTTACAATAATACTTAATAGTAATATTATTCAATATCAATAAAAGGATGATAATTTTATTATTTTAACTCAACAAATATGGTTTTATAATTTTAATTAAAAATTACCGCTTAATCATCGATCAATTAAGATACTAAGTTTAATTAAACAAGTAAACATGATTACTGGACGGTAGATAATAACGCAATGTCAAAAAAATGTTGATGGACGACAGCGGAAGTCAGATTACAAATGTAAAGATGACAGCTACAAATGTTTGACAGTATACCTTTAAAGTCTTTGGATTGGCAATAATTTGAGCATTTAAAAAAGTAAACCGTGTTTGATTTTTGACCGCGTCGGTTTATAACAAAGTTTCCAAAATTCTAACTCGATTTTTCATAGATAACATTTAAATAGTTTAAGAATGAATGAAACTTACTGTTTAACCGCTTGATAAAATACATAAGAGGTATAATGTAAGTGTATACGATCCAAACAATTGAGATATAGGTGTGGCACTTGGTACTTTCTAAACCAAAACATTTGTTGTTTTCAGAAACGGGACGAATTAACGAATACAATAATCTAGATATTAAAAGTAACAACATGCCAGTGCTACAATCTTGTTGGTCGCCATGCATTTGGTCTTCCAATGTGAAGATGGGGAGCAGAGTGGTTGCTGCATATACAGCAGCTATGAGTATTGTTCTCATAACGTTTATAGCTTATCAGATGGGTGGTGGAGACTCCACACAACTATGGAATCCACTGTTCGAAGCAGATGTTAGGGGATGTAAGTATTTCATAGTCATAATATGATGTTAACTTGTGTTGTGAATCCATAGAGCAATATATAAGCAAGCATATCAATACAAAATCTGTATGTATATCAGTAGACTGTTGCCTAAGCAATAGAGTGTGTGAATTCCCTGTAAATAATACCGATTTATAGAGCTTTTTTGGCTTATTGCTTGGGGGACTTTCTAGTCTTAGCAATATAATGTAAATTTTAGCAGAACATCATATATCTCTAAAATTATTACTGTATGAAAAAGATATACACATGGAGCTGAAGGTGTTGTTCTAAAAGACCTAAAAAGTTTGTAACTTGAAAATATCACAAAGATAGTTATTAAAATGCCACAATATTACATTTGTATGTGTCAACAAATTTTTAAATTTAATAAACTTGTTTTTTAGCTTTACAAGTCTTCGGGATTATATTTATTGTTATACTGTTAACATTAATAGTTTCATCAGTCTTGATGGTAAGTAAAAATTATTAAGAAATGTTTGTGCTACTCTATTATCTGTAGACCCTCATGGTAAGTTTGACTTTGACTATTCTTTTATTTATTTTTTTGTGAGGTTTAAGGGCATGGTGTTCAAAAACTGGCTGTATTATGAAAACTTTATTAATTTTTACATGTTATTTCACATGAAGGCACTACATAATTTAAAAATCAAAATAAATTAAAAATTTCGACTTGGGCAGGACTTGAACCGGCATCGTCAGCAACACAACAGCACGGAACGCTGACGATGCCGGTTCAAGTCCTGCCAGAGTCGAAAATATTTCCATTGATTTTAGATTTTTAAATTATATGTCTGTATCATCTTAGATGGACATACAAGCTGGCTAAGTTGGCACTTAAATCCTAGAAAAATTACATCATATTACAGGTCGTAGGTATGAATGTGTGGATGCGAGGATTAATGTTGCCATGGCTTTTTACTATGGGACTCATAATCGCATTTCAATTGATCTTCAGTTTGTGGCTTCTTGGCGGATACTACATCTATGTAAGCATCAATCTTTAATGGCTATGTTTAAAGTCCTGTGGGCATCTGCATGTTTGTAATATAATATTTTTTTGTTTCATGTTATTAGGAATAAAAAATAATTAAATTTTGTGAATTTCAGTTGGAGGCAACATATGCGGCCTTATTAAACTTTCTGTGGCTTGCTTATAATGTAAGTAAAATGATGATTTAATATTAATATCACAGAACAAGAATAAACAACTATTAATATTACATACTTTCATTCCAGATATATTGTTGGTTGTGCGTTTTTTCACAATACCAAATCATTTTAGAAATGCAGTCGCCAAATATTGAAATCTTAGTAGAATATTAGAGGGATATTGAAAAATATACCTAATCATATTATTTTTTTATATTACTTTGACCTATCCATATGATTGATATGCTTGTTAAGTTCTAAAAATAATCTTTTGTTTGAATGTATTTGCATACTGTATATTTTTAACCATGAAGAATAGATTTAATGTTAAATGAAGTAGGACTGAATTGAATGATATTTTTTATCAAGAACAATAATTTTACGAACGCGTAAAATGCTGGCATTTTTTAAATTTAGACAAGCGTATGTAAATTAAGTACATAAATAAGCATTTTTCTGTAATTTTATGTACAGTATATAAGCTTTGTTCGTATGTTGAATCTCAATGACCTTTCCATTTTACAAATGTTTTATATTGATTATTTATATAATTATCATACTGGTATGATTTATCGATTAGTACAACAGATCCGTCCAAAAGTCTGCATTTTATTGCATTTTTATAAGATATAGATTAGTGATATTCGTATGTATGTAATTAAATATATTTTTGAATCTAAGACTTTGTGTTTGAAAAGCACCGATTAATTAAGTTATAAACAACTGTTAAAAAGTAACTTCTCATTGCAAATGTGTGAATTTAACAAATTAATGTTTGGAAAAAGTGCCATCTATTAAAACTTACTGAAACTACAAAGAGATGAAGACTTTATATGTTCGTGATGCTTTCGTTTTTATTTTTGTCACTAGATGGCGATAATACCACTAGGAGCTAAATTATGGTCTATAAATAAAATATAATAATACATAGTTGCTTTTAATGGCATGATTTCAGCTGCTTGGTATGTCACGTTAACCTCACGCGTACCATCGGCTCTGATTGCTAAATGGTAAAAATCAGCGTTCATCTTGAATAGGTATCCTATACATATTTTACTTTTGGCAGCCAAGTTCTATATGACACGAAGTCTCCTGCAATGTCTCAATTGACGTAGCTCATCTTTCCATCGCTGGTTTTAAATTTGTCTGATAAACTATGCGCTTAACCAAATTAATATTATTATTTAAATGAAACAAATTCGAAATTCTTAAAGTATTTTATTTGGACAAATAAAATTCACTCCTCTATATCAACTAATAGAAAAATTATAAAGAACGTGAATAACAGAGTCTCAATAATCGTTACATAAGTCATACCAATTAATTACAACTTTACAATTTTAATATCTTAATTTACTATATATTAAGCCTTTGAAATTAAAAAACTTTTATTGCACGCCGTATAACATTCACGTCGACTTTCGCTAAAGAGCAATAAAAATTAACAAATACTGGAATGTAGACTGAGTATTTTGGAAGGCAATGTCATGGAAACAAACTTATAAACAATTTAAAACTGATAAATAAAATGCACAACCCTAAACAGAAACAATAACTTTAAAATATAGTAACGACATTTACGCCAAAATTATAATACTTTTGTAAATCATACACATTGTAGTTTAACGCGATTATTCATTAAATAAAACACTTTCAACGGTTTAAAATGCGAAATATACAGCTGCTGTCAAACATCCGAAACGTCGGACCGTACTTAAAAATATGTAACTAATATATTTCGTGTTCTAAACGGTTAAAAGTGCATAGCTTGTAAAAACGTACATATCTATTCCAAACTGAAGTGTCTTCTAATTCCTTAGGACGTTACGTGTAATAATGCTGTTTTTTGTTACTTTGAAAGTTGTAAAACATCGATTTCAAACAAAAATAGTTTAAAAAGCACCTAGCTTTTTAAATATTAAACAAAATTTAAAACATAATCAAAATATTAAATTGGAGCGGCTTGAGTGTCCTATAGATAATTAAGTTTAATATCCAAATTTTAAATTAAATACATTACTTACCTAACAAAATAACATAACACGAGTCTTTGAGCATTGTCAAAAAACTAAACGGATCGCTATTTGAACAACGTATTTACAATGAAATCTTATTTCGAATAAAATAATATACAACACTAGAGCTACGATAATTTACAATTACGATATTAACCTAAGTACAGTCAGGTGCTAACTATTGTACAATCATTTACAAAAAGCTTATAAGTTATATCTTTAAATTGATATGCAAGAAGCTATACGAATAGCTCGAATACTTAACGCAGAGGCCAAAGGTATATTTATGGCTCCGTAACTAGATTTTAGGGAAAATTTCCAAATAGTACTTCTGTTGCACATGAACATTCAAAACACTGAAAAACAGTTGAGTATTGATAAAGTGTTTCCGTAAAATAGATCTAATGCAATCAAATTATTTATTTACACAACATTCACCAATAAAATAAGTCACTTTCACAAAATTAACAATAAACGAAATGTTGAGAATAATACATTTGGACGATATTATGAAAGCTACTCATTAATATGGCTATGAGCTGGCTGAATACCAATTGGTGTTCGGCGGAGCTGACTTGTCTACGGGTTGGTGCGAGTGAGACGCGTGCGCCGAATGCGCTTGCGGATGATAGAGATGGAACGATGGAGCCGGGTGGAAGAATTGCGACTGGTCTAGCGATGACGCATAGTCCAATGCACCGGGGACAGCGGAATACGCCTGGGGTTTCAATGGCAACGGTGTGTCACCCAAGTAGGAATGTCTTAGGGCTTCGGAATAAGCGTTATTGTCGTACGGCAGAGCGTACTGCTGTTTGTCTCGAGGTGAAACGGAACCGGGCGGGGTCATAGCTGAATGGTAGTCTGCGTAACTCCCATAAGCGAGCGATCCGATATCCGTGCCCTTGTGACCTAATTGCTCACCATAACCTGAACCTTCGCTTCCCGGCGGGGTCGGTAGAGGTCCTGTCTGGCCGTCTCCGGAGTAATAGCCCCCAGATCTTGCGTCTCCTAAGAAATTGCTCCTGATAACGCTTTCTCTATTCGCATACAGCTGCCGTAAAAGCGCCGACGCTGGTGTTGATGAATGATTACCAGGTATTTGCCTATTTAGGTGGTTCAACGGGTGATTTTGAGTACCGATCCACTGTATAGTAGACTTCTGCTGTTGTTGTTTTAGTAAGGCATCCGTTGAGAAGTCTGTCGGGCGATGAGAGATTTCTTTATCTAGCGCAACGGATGGCAAATGTTTGGACATGGCGTTCTCTAAATCTCTAACAGATGTCGCATCCGTATTTTCTGGCATTGGAATTTTTGTTAAATCGCGCTCAACTGGAGATATGGTAGCTCCGGGATTTGATGAGCTTTTGCGCCTTTCCTCCTCTCTGACTTCCTCTTCGTCTGTGGTGTGTTTTCTTTTTTTCAGTCTTCTCGCTGGCATTGGTGACGTTCGTTCTGGGTTAGTATGAAGAGGTAAAGGTTGTGAATCACTCAGTCTTGTTAGATGGGTCACATCTGACGTCGGCGGTGCAGTAGAAGCTGAATCGTTATTTGTCGGAGGTTCGGTTCTATCAGATGGATGTCTCGCTGTAGGAGGTGGAGCACCCGGCGCGTCAGCATCAGGTGGTCCATTTTCAGGGTCTCCTGTGGATTCCTCTCGCTTTACTCCCTGAACGCTTTCTTCTAATTGACAGCAATCCATCACAGTGTTTGGGTATTCACGGCCACTGTAACGATAGTATAATATTAATATTATATAAATATCCTACTGAGTATCTAAACTATTTTCCTTTCATTGTATGTGAATGTGACTTATATGTCGCATTATTTCTATCAATACGATTTAAAAATGAGGAAAATTCAAATGTTACAAAATATAATAAAGTGATCATAATTATTAACATATATTTGAGCTTGTTACACGAAGCAGCTAAAATGGGTTCTTTGTCTGTTAACAAAAAACGAACGAACCCACATTTTGCAGTTTATCGATACATACCTTATAACATAATTGACGCATATAATATTCTGTTCTTCGGCATTTTTCGATGAGCAAACGACGGTAGCACAAGTTTGCATCCAGGTGTAGCCGCCGAGCTTATTCATTATCCTATAGTAGTGAGTCAGTACTTGTCCTTTGTTCATTACTGGAAAAATGAGAGGGATGTTAAAATATTGTTCGTATAACTATTGTTAATAAAAATAAAACAATATAAAGGCGAACATTCCAATTGGTTCTGCTTGACTTATTGTTTCTAATTAGGACGTCATACGACCTTGAATTAGCGACTAATAAGCTGGATGATGGCACTCATAATGATACAAATGAATTTTATTTCACATTCAAAGGACAGAGTGTTTGACATGTGTATTGTGCTACGTGAATCATTAGCACTTCGCTTTTTGGTTTTGTTGGTTTATTGTGTATTGTCGATTACATGGCACTGGAGTCACGCCAGCGTATTCAACGTCATTTGTTAAGGTAGTAGTTTATAAACGTAGCCGGTGTAACGCGTTACACTGCGTCAAAATACTTATCATTGGATTAATAAACTGCTAAATACATCATATGCACAAGAGCCGACGTGTCAGTCACAATAGCAAAAAATATTTGACGACAAATTCGATGTTTAACTTTGACGGCCTTGTTGGTCTGATGGTAGTTAACAGTGTATGGCTTATAATCAACGGATTGTGGATTTGATTTCCACCAGTTCCAACATGTTTCTAATCAATTTATAATATCTGAAACTTGTTCGACTTCGTCTATTAATCTGGATATTAAATGGATGTAATCGGAAATTCTGTCGGGGTCCAAAACCAGCATCCACAGATAAAATAACCGTGTAGTTTAATCGGGTTTCGGTTTCAGAGTGTGGATTTCCGAATATCCAAAGGCAAATAGGTTGACAGTGCATCTGTATAAAGACAATAGTTATAGCGTTTATAGGAGGCCCCAACCTAACACTGTGCTATTGTTCAGCTAATATTTATATAACTATTGCTAAGTATTATCCCTGTATGTATTTGTATTGTTTACGAAGTTTGCGGTTGATAAAAATTTTTACTAGACTTAAAACTAATAAAAATATTTATCAACCGCAAACTTAAGAAGAGAGAAAACAGTATTTAAGGTAGAGTCTAAACTCTACCTTAAATACTGTCTGTGTTTCCCCATGACCACGGCTGCTGCAAAGCATCCGAAACGTCGGGCCGTAGTTAATAATAATTCAAACAAGTTTTACTAAAATATATCGCGTAACTCATCAGTTTTGAGGGTAGTTCGATAAAAGACCAATTAAGTCGCAATTACATATTACATATAAACATTCTAGTCATATTTTTGGGATTTTTAAAACTGAAGTTATTATTTATTTTGCACACCACTTTCTTTTTATTTTAAGAAGGTTTTTCTGTGGGCATAATTCTTATAAATCCCAAAAAATATTAATTCAAACTACTTTTATTCCAGTGGATTCCAGTTTTACTGATTACGGAAATTCTGGATTTCTTGACATTTATTCACAGAGCGATCAATCTATTGATCACTTTATACATCAATTGGTCTGATGTTTCCACCCATGACCCGGTATGTGGTGAAATCAAGTGTCGTAACGCATTTAGTATTCAGGCATCGACTGTAGAAATCCATGTCAAGACGTCCACACCAAGGCAGGAGGAAAATTTACGCTCTTCTTTTGATACTAACAGTAACGATTTATTGACCTTCGAAGCATTTATGGTTTCATTATGCACGTAACCAATAGGAATAAAATACATTACACATCACATATGTGACATGAGTAAATATTTACCTACACTTTTAACAGTTTAAAACGCGATAGGTAATATTAGTCATGCATACGTCACTCTTCAGTTTAATATAAATTTAAAGTAATAGGGTGTTCTATTTCATTATTTTTAACGCTGTTATTTCGTATTTCAAATTGTTAAAAGCCTTTTATTATATTTAGACAAATTTTGATATCCTTATGACTGAAATGTCAATTTAAAAAAGAATCGGATGTATTTTAATTAATTGTATGTACCTAAATAAAACTGGTTTTATATTGGAAGATTAATATTATTTTGTAATAGAAACGTACTATACGTTTGATTTAAAAAGTCGATAGCACAAGCGGGATAAGAAGTTGATTACAAGCCTGGCCCCGTTATTTTTTCATAATTATAAGCTGTTTTATGTAACTATTATATAGAGGCAACGACTATGCTCCTTATCAAAGCTATATATGTGAACTTATATGAACTTTTATATCTACGAAGAATAGAATTTAGAGTTAGCGCCGTATGGTCCGTCTTGTCTGTGATTTGAATAATAATTTAATCGCCATCATTTCGTTTCCTTTCCTCAGCTTATTCGTGGGAAATGTCGTTCCTTAATGTTCTTTAGCTTCGGCTATACCAGAAAGATTATGTGATATATTCTGATTTTTTTTCTTGTGTTATAAATACATTTTGTACGTGTTTTATGTACCTACAGGATTTTTATAAAATATGAATAAGCTTACATACACCTCCACCTATGGAGTATCTACTCCATAAGTATATATAATCTTATATATGTCATGTAAATTAAATACTTTTGATGGTTTAAAACGCGACATATTTTAATTAATTACTTTAAATTGAATTTAACTGCGGCCCGCCGCGATGTTTCGGATGCTTTGTATCAGCTGTGGTTAGGGACCCAAAATACATAAGTTAATATTTCTCGTTTCAAATCGTTATGTGTTTTATTTATTTACATTGCTGTTATAAACAAAAGATAACAAGATATTAGAGGCAAAAGTTGAATTAAAATTAAAAGGCTTCGGCAATTGCAAGCTTTAATGAAAAACTTACTTTTTGTAAATTTTTTTAAAGTTAATTTCACTATGAATTTAGTGATTATTTATCATTTTTTGAGGAGCAGGTTTCGAAAAGATTTACAAGCTAAGTCTGATGACACAAAGATTAAAATTGTACTTTTTTAAAGGTCTATGAATTTATGTAACATTAAAAATGGTTTATAACTTCGAACAGCACATTAGAATATAATTCCCATTCTTATCGTTCACAGGACATCAGCCAGCTCGTAGGATAGCTTAATGGAACTTTATATGCATCACCACTTAATTGACAAAATACCTACAAGCACGAAGAATACTAAATATCTATTTAGGATTTTCCATATACATAAGCGTATGGCTTATGAAACATATATTTTCGAGGTACGAATACAAAATGGCTGACGATGAGCGCGAATCACAATCGAGTGACGTCATCGTTTTCAACCAACCGAACTGTTAATAGTTTTACGAGAGGAATAATTTGAATTTAGAATGCCGAATGTCTGTCAGATGCCGGTCAAATGTGGACAGACAGACGACCACTAGAATGTCAATTGTTTTATTAACATAAAACTCCGGGTGTTTACTAGAAAGCGGGTAATTTGGATACAGTGTGGACGCGAATAACATTTTTGATGGTGTTAAAAGCTTACTACTCGTACGAGGATAATAAAATAGAATGATTATGTTTTAAACTTCCGTCAGTGGACAGTTGTAGAATTAAAATTACTATTGATAAGAATTTTATGGCACCAGCTGTGTCTTAATCAATTTTGTATCAATATAATAATGAGTAGAAATATTTCAGTTCTGCACTTTCTTGCCAGCTAATTTAGTAACGACAAATAATACTTACAATCTACATGGCATTTCCTAAGTTTATTGGCGTCTTCACCGTGACATAAAGCGTAGAGATTCTTTCCAGTTAGTTCTTCCGCTGTGTATCCCAATAACTCTTGAACCCTGCTGAGTACAAAGTAATACTATGAAGTACACGAGAGAAACCTATAGGTAAGCTAACAATGAACACTAACATGTAGGCGTCAGACTTAGTAGTTTCGTGTTTTGATTCATCAACATACTTGATGTGAAGTCAATAGAATAAATACTGTCTATAGTTTACGCGAGTAGTACACATTTAAATAAAACACTTGAAAGGTTTAAAACGCGATATATTAGTTAAAGTTATTTGGAAATGATTTTTAACTTCGGCCCGACGTTTGGGATGCTTTGCAGCAGCCGTGGTCACGGGGATGGGGGTCACAAAACGTCGGGCCGAAGTAAAAAATCATTTCCAAATAAGTTTAACTAATATATCGCGTTTTAAACCGTTAAAGTGTTTTTTTTTTAATAGGATAGTTAAGCTACATTATGTTATGCATAGTTCGTTGAGTGAGTCAAGAAACTTAATTATTTTTTTTAGTACCTAAGACCATCGAAGTTGCAATAGGGGCATCCCTGTTAGGGCTCCGATAGATTATGAATAAATAAATTTAAACTAAGTTTCCGTAATACCTGGGTTCACAATGCGCTATCCTAAAGTCGAAGTTAATCCTCGTAACAAACATATCAGATTCCAGTCTGATCTCGTGCACTGAAGGTGGTGGTAATGCGATGGCTAGTGCTACCATCCCCAGTAGAGATGGTGGTGTCTTCCGACTATGTGAAAAGGTGTACTGTGGTCGTAGCCTGCAGAGCATTAGAACTACCTGAAACAAGGAGAAAGGAATGAAATATCTATTTTCATTAGTTTATTTTCAGTTATAGCTGCTTTATTTAATAGCCTGAAAGAGAACGAATTTTTAGCATAAGGGGTATTCATTATTAAATTGAATTAACCTAACATTTTTAATGGTTTCAAACACTTAATATACCAGTTAATTTAATTAAAATAAGTTTACGAAGTTCGTATTATATATATTGATAAGTATTTTATTTAAATGTGTAAGTACTACTCGCGTAAATTACAGACAATCAACCTAATCAAACCCCTAATTAAAAGCGATTTTTTTATTAAATCTTATTAATTATATATGTAGATAATTGTTTGGAATTACCCGAGTGACCACAAAAATCGTACAAGATATGTGAAGAGAGAGATGTAATATCATTAGTTAGTAATAAGTTAAGTTATGTAACGTGTGAGGAATAAATGTTTCCATATAATGCAGCTTAAAAAAATAATGATAGTTTTATATTAAGGTAAAAAAACCGATACGATACATTAAGTTGTTCTTGTTACTGCGGAATTCCATCAAGAGTTGGCAAACTGAGAGTAATACGTTACGTGTCGAAAATCAGAAATGAACTCACAACTCCTGAGATTTAGAAGTCACCTAACTCGTGCTAAGTTATCGCAAGATTTATAAAACAAGACTTTACAAGGAAAATAGAAACAATTTTAAGGTAAGGTAATATACTACGAAGAAATAAAAACAAATGAATAAAGTAGCAAGTTGTATATCTAAAGGTAATCAGCAATCTCTTGCACAGCATTGGTCCAAGTAGCAAAGCAATAAAGGATGAACTAAAGCCAATTAAACCCATAAATGTATCGCCGTTGGCTCAGGATTGGTAATAAACGGTTTTCTCTAATCGCTTCGTCGATATTTGCGAAGTATGTGAGCCATTTAGATGGAGATAATTAGAATTATGGCGTTTAATTTTCGAATTGCGCTGCTAGATTTGTTAATGCTTCGTGACTTACATTGTGGGCGCTTATTGGTTTTGTTATTTTCTGATATTATTTAAATTAAATGTTTTCTTTTAAGTTCCTACCTAATATGCTACTTATTGTACTACCAAGGATCAAAAATCCGTAAAACAAAAAAAATATAGCGCCGAAAGACGCGTCAACATTAAAACATATAAATGAATACATAAAGACTTACAACAAGAAAATACTTCCACATCATATTATGTTCATAATTCATACAGAAAGATACTAAGTAAAATAAAAGTGTCCTTTCTCCCGGAACAATCTATTAAAGCCAATTTTACGCACCTACTATATCCTCCAAGTTGAGATATAATCACATTTTATTTCCTAACACCGAGTTAAGACAAAAATTATGGGCCATGGCTGGTGCCTTGAGGCACCCCACGCGGCGCAATAACTCCAGCAATAATATTTGTGATCTAAGACGGATAAAGCGGCTGCGAAATTGTTCAGAGGTTAACCGTATCTTTACGGCTTAGGTAAAATGTCAAGCTTTTATACTGTTATTCAATCTCTCGTTAGTCACAAAAAGATATACCTATATGTTGATAGCACTATGGGGCTTCTTAATATACTGAGTGATTATAAAATATCTTAACGACATAATATGAAAAACTAATAATAAATAATGTCTATGTTCTCATGAATACCTAAATCGGGGTGGTAAAACAAGTTTTCACTAGCTACATAGTTATAATGATTTTATTATTATCAGATATTAATTTTAAAGAGGGACCACCGATAAAAAATCTTAACGTTGGAATTTCAGTAAAACATATAAACAAAGTCGCCTTTACGGTACAATTGGTAAATGTAAATGAACAGCAGAATGTGAGATACCATTTCTATAATGGTTTTTTAATTTCTCGCTCATGATACCCACCCGCCAGTTACCACCCTCTCCGTATCTTGGCGTCTCACCCTCCTTGCATCTCCCAACCTAGATTGAAAATGAAAATTCAGCGTACATTTTTATCTCTAAACACTAGATAAGTAAATGTCCACAAATTTTCAGTCCCATCTACTAATGACTCGGAGACTGTTAATCGAGTTCAGTCACGATTTTTACTTTTAGCAGTGCTTTTCTATCGGTTCTTTTGTTGGATATATTTAGTGTGTTGAAATTATTATCGTTAGTTACTTCCTTATATTTAATTTTAAATAGTTTAACAGACTTCTGTCTACCTTACCCTATATCCTGAAGACTTGAAATGGCACCCTCGTTTGGTTAATGTACTCTTCATTCTTACGCAGAAGGCTCTGTCCATCCCTCGGTATAACGCGCCACTCGCTGCTATCGTCATTTGGGCTGATACTGTTAATAATAATATAAAAATAAATACTTAATTCTATGAATATTAAAATGAAATAGTTATCTTCCTTATTTATATAAAATCGCAGTGTAGGTAGGTACTTCCATGAAACAAAATTTCAATTTACAAATTTTACATTTTACGGATTGATATGCAATTTTAAATGTCTCTTTTATTATAGATTACATTTCTTTGAAACTGCAGATACGGTTTATAAAATCATAATGACAAACTTATTATTTGCTTGGAGAAATATACAGATAGATTTTTAGGAAATTAAAACTTCATCTTTCATATCTTCTAGGTAACTACATTGGTGCTTTTAATACTAGTTTGTTTAATTTATATATCTTAAGGAAATTTGGTTCTTAATATCCACGATGGCTCTAATCTGCGATAAGAATAAAGTATTTGATCACGCCACGGTACATCCTCAAACGTAGAGTCATTCAAATAAAATTCAGATGGCTTGATTGATTAGTTTGACGGCTATTTAATTACGTGAATGAATCTTTGGGACCGGTGAGAGGACACCACGCCCTAATTGATTTTAAGAAGGCTTGGTTACTGTGGCTGGGAAATCAGACTACGCTTCCCAAAACTAAATTAAAAACAAAAAGTAGGGATATTTAAACCCTTTTCGTGTTTTAATTTGCTTATACTTATAAGAATTCTAAGCAAGTTGGTTATGTACCGAATCCACAATTTAATATTTAGTGCTTTATTTTATTTCGAGCACAGTTTATTACATAAATATGGCTACAATACTAATTAACTAATAAAAGCTAAAAACTAGTGATAGCTATAGTTTACTATTTTACTATGGAGTATCTAATTATGACGTGAAAATTCCAGTACGCATGATATAATCATGCGGTTTGTAAAAACCTTTTGACTAAAATGACTAATCACAATACAAACAAAGATTACAATATATGAGTCATCGAGTGTTAAAATTAATTGTACACATAAGTAGTTATAAAAAATAATATTTCTCATTTACGACTATATTTTTTTTCCTGTTAGAAATGGTCCGTTGTTAAAATCTAACATTTAAATAGTTAATACAAGTATTCTATTACAATAAAAAGCTTTGTACATACTTTGAGAACCACTGTTCTCATCATCATCGGCGCATTTCTACGGCTATCAAAAGACAATCCACCGTTTAACACGCTTTTCACTCGTCAATCTGATTTTACAACGCCATTCCACATACAATGATCACCTGTCACTTTGGATCCTGATAGAATTTTTTCGATCTACCCTCATTTTTTAAACGAGTAAGTAAATTGAAACCGATTGTGTACATAACAATGTAAGGCCGTTGGCTTCGGAATCAATTTGTGTAAATTGCTCTTGCTGTAGAAAAAACCTCCAGTAAGGATGGTCCCTAACCTATAAACTGGCTCGAACCATTAGCTAGACCTTTGCTTTACAGTAGCTATACATCGCTTAGCTTTCTGGATTAATAAAATGTGGAGCAATAGAAAGAAATATGATTTATATAAAAATTACTAATATTCGTAGGTAATAACTAAATCCAGGCAGGTTATCATGTATGAAAACAATTTCAATTTTATCATTTTTAAGATTAACACTTTATGTATAGACATATAACGTAGACAAAGCAGCTAAATCACATTATAGCGAAATATAAAAAGTGCTTAACGCAACTTTGACTTTAACAACAATAATAAAAACCACGAGCGCGCTGGACCGAGAACTGCTATTTGTCAGAGAAATTATATACGAGACTTTTTGCTCATTACAAATTTTAATTGAACTTAGCACCTATTGAGCGTTCAAAATCCGTTCCTAGGAGATACGGAATTATCAATGGCGCCCAAAATTCAATTTTTCCCATCGCAATAAAATATTAATCGAAATTGTAGAGACGCTGCGACTCCCCATCGACCACTTGATAAGGTCCAAACGCACCGTGGAGAATCTATAATCTAATTTCAATTTGACAGAAGACTTATTAAGTAGAGCGTTCAACGATTTGACAAAGTACATTTTCATAAACTAACTGATCATCGCTTAAAATTATAATCCAATGCAAACGTAGAATTTAAATGATTAGGAAAATATCCCTGTTATGAAAAACTTTCTAGATAAGACGCGTTCAAACACAAACCACATGATACTTCATAAATCGATTTCTCAAAATACACAAATGATTTTCAACAGACAGACAGAACAGTCCAACAACAGAATTCTAATTAGACGGGCTCGAGGCAAATTCATTTTCGTTTTTTCGCTTCAGTATTTTTTTCTACCTCATGTTAAGTGGAAAATTTAACTAAATAGATTGCCTAACGGTCCGCCTGCATAATAAATAGAGGTGGCTTTACAAACTTTTTCTAAAAACTTCTAATTTATTCTTTAAATATTTGGGCACTATTCTTGACAACAAACTAAATTGGACTGAAAACAGTAAAAACCTATGTGTAAAAGGAACTAAGGCGCTAAATGCCCTATGTCCATTACTTAATAGAAAATCCCAATTGAGTAGCGACATCAAACTCAAACTTTACCAAGTCTTGGTTCGTCCCCGTATGACATATGCCTGCCCCGTATGGAGCAGCACTTGCCGCAGCAATATAAATAAACTGCAAATAATACAGAATAAGGCACTAAAATGGTCTTACAATGCCCCTTTTTTCACTAACCTCGTAAAATTACATAGTAAAGTCGGTCTCCCCAGCCTTATCTCATTTATATACAAAGTATCTAAAACATTCTACCTTTACAATATCCCCATTAGCAAAAATACACTTATTAACTCTATATGCAGATCCCGTAAAAGTAATATATCATATATCGACAAATATAATCGATACAAACTCCCCCATCACGAATTCGAATTGGTAAAAAGTGAGTGACGAGACAAAGTAAGAAATGCCCCCTTCCTTATTGCTGAGATTTATTTTCCAGAAAAACAAAGCATTCAATATATATAATGAGGGTAGATGTAAATTATTTTTTAGTAAAGATATATAAGTAGACGTGGATTGCGTCTTCACTCTAGTCGCCAATAAGGTCTGGCGATGTACAGGCAAACTGTGGTTGGAGAAGCAGCCCAACCTTCTGCAAGTGTCATAGATAAAAGCCCAGAACAAATAACAATGGAAAAGATCGCATCCTCGGTGAGTACTTTTGCTTTTTATTTCCAATCTATACTAATATATAAGGCTGTAAGTTTGTTTGAACGCGTTAATCTCTGGAACTACTGGCTCAAATTTAAAAAATATTTTTGAGTCTTGTAGAACATTTATTGAGGAACTACGAGCTGTGACTAATAGGAGAGAAGAAACAGGGGGCGAAAACGGGGAAAATTGTTTATCTCTGTAAGTTTTCGATGACGATTCAAACTAGAGGTGTCTAAATCAAACACTTTTACCTTAATTTTACTTTATTTTAACCACAGTCTGATTTTCAAACGATTTGTAGCAGCCATGGTCATGTCAAAACATCGTCATATTCGCATTTAAAACCGTTAACTGTTTTGTTTAAATGTGTACTACTCGCGTAAACTACCGATAATACTCAAACTCAAACACTATCGGTGAAAATACTTTATCTATATTAAAAAATGGGAAAGATTAATTAATTTAAGAACATAGTTGTAGAGCTACTAATAATCCTCGTTTAAACCGTTTTTAACAGGGTTCGCTTTAACGAAACCCGGTTAACACCCGATGAAGTAGCTGATCGATTTAGTACTATTTGCTTCGCCTAACAGTCACGCTTTTGGTATAACAGGATTTAATAATATAGATAATACTAAAAGAGTGTACCTAAACTAAGCAAATTTTTATTTTGTCCATTTTTTTCAGGAGGCATTTAATCAGGCGGATATGTCTGATGTACCTACCCAAAAGATATCGACTGTTGCTACAGTCGAAGAACCGCCACGTGAAATACCGTCTCCGGTAATAATAATAATCTCTTCGTAATATTAGTGACCATGGTCAACAACACGTGGGGCTCGCCTCCTACCAAACGGTTTACCTACCCTTTTTATTAAAACACTTAATCGCTTAAAGCGCAAAGGATTTAAGGGAGGACCTGGCAGCATCCGAAACTGAAACATCAATCAAACGCGGAATCCAAACAGAAATATCGGGCCGTAATAAACAAATTTAAAAATAACTAACTAAAGTAAACACTTCTAACCCGCTGGAAGTATTTTATTATACACACAAACAATACTTTAACAGCAACTTTATGCTTCTGTATACTCGTATGTAAAGAATTACTTTTTTTTTATTTACCTACTACCTTTTTATTTCAGATTAAAATACGTCGAGTTGGAGTGAGGACTTTTACGTCGGCTGTCGAAATGGATTTTAATAATATATGTACGTATGTTATTATGGATATCATTAAAATTAAATATGCTGTTATATTATAACATTTAAAAATTATTTATTGTATAAATCTATATATATATATATATATATATATATATATATATATATATAATGTAAAATAAGTACATAGTCCAATTTTTCGAGTAAGTGCATATAACACAGACGTTAAAAGTCTGTGTTATATGCACATGTAATGTGTATGTTCTTGTTCTCCGGAAACAGTAATATCATTATTATTTATTAACCAATCAATATTGCCTTATGGGTTTGTTAGTAAAAATAACTTGCAACCAATGGCAATATAATTTTTTATAGTTGTTTACCAACATATGTTGGTAACAACAAAATGAAATATAAAATAAATAAGTATATACTTATTGCATCTCTAAAAACTATTTCAGTCAGTCAGTCAGTCTGCACGCCCTCATCGCGTAGCAAATTACATAAAACAAAATAATAAATTGTTTCATAACGTTTTTAGCCACCAATATGGAAAATATCAGAGACAACCGACAAGCTCGAGATCAGAGTATATCGGTACTTCACCAAGAAGCGGGCTTAGCTGATGTTCCCCAAGAGAAAATTGACGCAAATCGTAGCAAGAATAGAAGTGAGACACCCCTGGGCAGTTTGGATAGGACAAAAGTATCGCTGGGCGATTCTGATGTTACTACTGAATTGCAAAGCTTTCTCAGGTACTATCTTTTATCACTTTGGTGAGCTATGTGTACTAGTATCTATCTATACTAATATTATAAACCTGAAGAGCTTGTTTGACACGCTAATCTGAGGAACTACTGGTTCAAATTAAATAGAATTTCTGTTGGGTAGAACATTTATCGAGGAAAGCACTAGGCTATAAAACATTACCTTTCGACCATTAGGAGCAAAGAAACAGTGGGAAATGTAAAACAAACTGGGAAAATTTACCGGTTATATATATAAGTTACAAAGATTGCAAAAACAAGGAAAAGTTTGCAAAAACAAATTTTGGTGCCCAAAATAAATATTCTAAGCGGACCAAGTCGCTGGCACAGCTAGCCTACTATAAGTACTATTGGTACTAAAATAATAATCGAATTTATGTGACAGTTTATACCCTGGTAAAGTAGAAACTGAATATACACTTCAAATCAATTCTAATATATGAAAGATCCAAAAAAAATTATATATTGCCTTTTAGAATAAGATAAATTTATGTAAATAATGATTGTAAAAACCATTTTTCAGAGATGAATGGGGAATCTTTGGAACTATGCTTAAACTGTTCTCTTGTATTAAAGATGGCTTGAAGGGTATTACTGTCAGAGTTCTTGTTTCCCGCGGCCCAACGCAAGGTCGAGAGCGTCTTGTCGCAGCAAAATGCTTCACGTCTTTATTAAGTACGTATATTTTACAAAAAACGTACTTTAATACGCAAAACATATTAGTTATTTGTATTTACTACGATGGGTTCTTTGTAAGCAGCTGTAATCACGGCTCGTTCATCACAATCGTTAACTGTAGTAAGAAAAGCTTTAACTACTCTACTGACCGCCATCATCGACTTAGCCTAAATGTAGGAACTGAAATATTATTCATCTTTCATATGTATCCATCTGATAAGAATGGATTTTTATTGATGAGTTGTGTCTTGTATTTTTTTATATTAATTTCTTATAGGGGTTAAACATTTTCTCTTTACTTTTCAGAATTAAGGCAACACGGTTTTATAACCGTTGAAAAAGACCCTGTTACTCTTGAAATTGTCCATATGACCTTAGGCCCAAGGTTATTAAAGCTGCAGAATGCAGAAAAGTATTTGTGAATGTAATTTTTATATATATAATTTAGAAGCGGTTTAATTTTTGTTACTTTTATTTTGTTTTCCTTTATATATTACAAATACATTTAACGGTTTACCTCAAGTACATAAAGTATACGAAATTAGTAAATATTTTTAGAAATATTTACTTAAATTGAATGTCCTGAAGAGGTAATAAAAGTTCATTAATATTCGTTGATATTTTATTTACTTTCTATGTGTTATATTAATAAACGTATTAATGAAACGTCATGCGTTTTTATTTATTAAGCGATAATACGTAGGTAGGTAGAAAATATTAATCTCATGTCAATATATCGATCTTAACTTAAAAAACCAAAAGAAAGAAAAATGTTTTTATACATTCCGCCCTACTATAAATGTTTAAGATAATTCATATAAAATGAAATTGTAAATCATTTGCAGAATTCTTATGGCTAGCTTTTAACTTTATGGAAGTAGCACTTAAGGTTCAGCCAATATCGATTAATACACAGATACTTGATGAGGAGAAGAGAAATATCTCACCTTCATAATTATGCAATCTATTTCTTAAGATAGTTTGATTTGACGTTGCGTCAATTGCCTATGTTGAATCGTTGTAACTTGTCATTGTCAGTTATTTAGTTGCGTATTTGAAATTGGTAATTCGTGCGATGATCTCATTAAATTTAAAAAAATATATTTTTGATTATTTTAAATGATATATACAATGGATAATTAACACAAAGAGCACGTTTCCTATATATTCAAGCGACTGGTGCTTCTTCAGTATTTACGTATACATTTTAAAAAAAAATACTTATAATGCAGCTGTCTCCTTTTGAAAATATTTTCAACATTATTGGCTTGTCGGAGAGCAATGAAAAACCAATGAAACATGGATTCTACAATGCCTTTGCATTATTTGTTTTGGCAATATGTTGCGCAGCAGTTTACGTTTTATTCCTGATATTGGAACCCTTTTTCAAACCATTATTTTGGGCCTTGCTCGTAGGCTCTTTACTTCATCCCTTTAAATACAAATTATCGAAAAAGATCACTAATATATATCGTGTTTTAAACCGTTAAAGTAATTTATTTATAGTTAACGAATACATACTAATAATAATAATAAATCTCTTCATTTGGCATTTATTTAGTATAATGCTAGAAAAGTGTAAATGTAATCACAAATTAATATTCAGCCGTTCGGTGTCCACAGCTGGACATAGCCCCCCCCCCCCCATAGACTTCCAGTACGACCGGTCGTTCGGTAGTTGAATCCACCGTTTCCCTGCTCTCTTGACCAGGTCGTCATATATATATAATAATTAATATAACAATATTAAATTAATTTGAAGAAAAGTGATGCCAAAAAGGGGTCATCCATAACGTCACACGAATTTCATGATTTTTCGAGCCCCCCCGTCCTTGTCACAGATGATCAGATTTCTGAGACCCCCCTCCCTAGTGTGACGTCACATGTTTTGCAATTTCAACAAACCCCTACTGTACGTCTGTTAGACGGCGCCCATACGATGCGGTGTAAACGATAATAAATTAGTTAATTCCCTTTTCAATGATGCAAAAACCGGATGGTAAAAAATTTGGTTCAGCATTTCGTCTGGCGACACTTTTTTCATGCGATGATCTAGCAGTTTTAATTTAATGTAACGAGTTTCTTAAGCCACAAGTTCCATACTTATAAACTAAAGTAACTGAGTTAATAAATAAAGCTTACTTCTGTCCAACAAAAAGAAATGTTGAAAGGTGAATATTTTCATTAGTTTTATATTGATATATTATATGATAACTCAAAACTACTTACCATCAGGATTATTAGTTCCATGCTGGCTTCCCTCTTCGCTTCCAGACGCGGGACTATTCAACCCTGCCCCACCCCGACCGGCCAGTGATAATCCTAATTGTTCCGCGATTTCTGCGTGGTCAGCTTGATGAATGTAATCGAATATACTACTGCCCGTCATCTCTACCTGGTGACAATGTAAAGACAATTATAAAACTAATATTTCTAAATACGCTTGAAGAAAGTACCTATATCTGATAAACAATGTTTGATTGGTCTGATGTGATTTTTGAAGTGAACAAGCAATAATAATAATAACAAAAGTAGAGAGTACTAGGATCCTTATATCTAACACAGAAACGCCTATTAAACGAATATTTTTTTAAACAGGTGAAAATATTTAAAAAAGCCCTGTTGCTAAGCAACCCGACTTTCCCGCTGACCCTTTCACGGCGTATGCAAATGTATCTTTAAATAAATTTATCAAATATAATTGTGGGACCCTATTAGGCATTCAGGAGGTGTGTATCCGCAGTGTTGGATCGCATGTGAATAGCCAAGACAATGGTGACGTTACGGTGGTCGTTTCTTAGAAATATCCGCACTTTATAGTGTTTACCGATTCAACGGTCAGAGATTCGTTGACAGGTGATGAATTGATATTCGTAATGGATGAGGTATTTCCAGCTGTTCATCATCTTGACTCGATTGTGTACTATAAAAGTTCTTATTCAAGTTTTCGTAGTGTCCAAGTTGTCCTTTTTGGTTTTTGTCCAGTCTTGACAAATATATGTACGTAAAATTTTTCCTCATTAATTAGTTTCATCATCAGTGTAGGTTGTGGCTACTTTTTTTGTATAGAAATAAGCAGGTAATTACGAGTATAATTAAAACATTGGTAATTGAAGAGGTTTTATTTTCTAACAGGCCCCGAATCGTTAGCAGAAAAATATATCTTAAGGAGAAGCAAGATCTTCTAAGTAAAACAAGACTTCCGAGAACAAACAAAAAAGCGTTTCCTAAGAAAACCTTAATGTCCAAAAGGCACCTCACGTAAATAATTTCCAGCGAGGGTCGAAGCACGTCAAAACAAAAAATAAACTATCCCTCTATGGAGGATAATACGATTCGCCGTTGTCCCCGTTAACGGGGCCCCGAAAAAATGGTAACAGAATTTAATATAGCTAAGCTCGGCTATGAGAAAGTTGTTGCTTATTTACTAGGAAGTTTATGTATTTTATGTGCACACATCGATAGGTTCATGTGAGGTGTTTGAGTGTGTGCGCGGAGTATTAGGATGTGGAGCACGATCACGCCTTGCCCGAGACGTGACCGGCATCTTTTATCCTATCCCCCGCTCGCCGTCTCTCTCGCACCACCCTTCAGCCATTTTGGATCAACTCCTCAGTTTTCGGATCTTTTCCATTTCCTTAAATTTATTTTGCTTAATTCCGTCTTGATTGCAATTTACTGATTTTTCTCTAGGTCTCACTTTATAGTAGAGAAAAATAGTAGGAGCATTAGGAGTAGAATATTGTAAGACCAGGGCAATACACTTTTTAATTAAACAACTAAAGTTTGTCAGGAAATACTATTTCATTTATTCCTGAATTTTAATGTTAAAACCTTTATGAGTTAACTTTTATTAAAAATTGTAAAGGATGTGTCGAGTTACGCTTTTAGCTTCGTCAGTAATTGTACTATTCGTCCCTTCTCGCTTTTAGTATACAAGTTGTACACGTAAAATGGAGGAATGGATAATGCTAGGCCCACGTAACAGATATAACACGTGTCGAGATGATATCAGTCCGGATGTCTTCACCGACAACAGGGCGATTACAATCTCGTCGTGTGAAGAAATGAATGAACAGATTTTCTTGGGTACCTTAAAGATCTCGTAGAATATTATAACTACGAACGAAATAAGCAAAAACTTTTCGTTTTTTTATTTAATTAAGGTCTTCGCTTAAGTACTTGTTACTAGCAAATATATCTCTACGCCAAGTGAAATATTTGTGTTCAGTTAGTTTTTATATGATAGTGATCAGTTTAAATTTAAAAATTTGCTAAATAAAAAAAAATCACTACCTTAAACTTTAAGATTTGTCGTTGCTTCTATCGACTAAAAATGTATTTACGTTCTGTGGTTTGTGCCATTTATGTAGATGGGCATATATCATACTTACTTGTGATAATCCTAAGTATATAGAAACAGTTTCAGATATGTACAGGAACCTCCCATCTGCTGCAACGGAGAGAGCGAAGCCGTCGAGAGACTGCAACAAACAAAAATTACTCTTTCATACATTATTAAAATTAATTTCAGCGATTCGTAATTTAATTCGTAATTTAAAAATTACAAGAAAAATACTTTTCAAATTTTTCTTACTCTCCGTGTTCAAAATATTTTATTCACGTTTCTTAACTAGCTTTGCTAAGACATGATTAGGCAACTTAAAAAATAAATTAAGATTTGACCTACTGCTTTACGCGTTCAAGTAGCGCCACAACGCCGTTATTGTTGTGAGTAAGGTCAGCAGAATCACGATTATACTTATTGTATTTATCAAATTAAAATCTTCACCTTTTATAAAGTATATAATATGCGTTTAAGGCTTTTTTATTATATCTTACTACTGCATACTTATCATTATTTACACTATACACACTGTTACTTAAAATATTTCATTTTTAATTCTAGTGACTAACATATTACACTAAATTATAAGTTGAACTGTTACTAACCCAACTAACTCACTGATTAGATTTAAGAATGGTTCAATGGTCTGATAATAATTATTGTTATTATTGAAGATCCAAGCACAAAGAAATACCAGAAAACAAATCGTAAGTTATCATATTTGCAAACCCTACGTCATATAAAAAGGTAATAGCTTTATATCCATCACTGATACTGGCGGCAAAAAAGGAAAACAAATAATAAGGTGATGAGAGTATTACTAATAACAGGTGGTTTGGTATGAAGGTCTAGAGATGAATTAATATACTTATAAAGAGAGGGTATTTTTAAATTAGTAAATTATTCTTAGGGCAAAACCTTCTTAATTTTTAAATAATGGAAATTAAGAATTGTTCTACTTAAGCAAAATAAGATGTAATGCCGTTTTAAGCTCGAGTTAATTTTTTATCTAACCTATTAATTTTCCGGTCACGAAAAGCAGACCTATTGACAACCTTTGTCGTTAATTCAATAACTAGTAACGCGGCCTTGCTATTCTTGTGTGTACGTGCTCATTTCGAAAACCGTACAAACTGTACCGCTAGTTGCATTAAAAAAAACTCTTTTCTAAGGAATCACGTACTTGTATTTTCAATCTGAATAAAACCACAACACCCAATATTATTCAGAATCGATTGCAAAACGATGGTTTACGTGATCGAGTGGCCGTATAATCGATTTTTTTACTTCATATTATTGTGATGCAATTTAACGACTGCGAATAACAACATTTACGACACCGTTTTGTTTATTTTTTAACTTGCTTATTTATTTAAATATTATATTTACAGATGGGAAAATTATAGCTAACAATTTAATTACTTCTGTGTTAGTAAAAAATAAATTCTTTTTTATGTAGTTAATATAAGACGATTAAACTATCTCCTTATTTTTTACATATGCCTATTGTTTACAATTTTGTATGTGGGTATGGTTTTTTGTAAAAGGTGACTATTTCATAAAAAAATGAGTATTGATATCTCTTTCATTCTAATACTCAATCATATTCAATAGAGAAAGACAAAGAACATAAAAACAATAGTTCAATACTGAAGTATTTTCAACCAACTCTACGGAACCGTGTCAATCGGTTCCGCTCGATCTTGGCCTTATTTCTTTGCTAACCCTTTATTGTCGAAATAATATATTCGATTAATTTTGTTATGAAACTAGCGAAATCGAGTAAATATTAAATAGGTATTTGCTAATAATAAATTAAAGTGCATTGTGTTTTCAAGCCATTGTGTGCTTCGGAAAGCATAACAGATTGGGTAATACAAAGTCAAGTTCAATTGATAATTGAAAAGTAATATGGCCTGTTTAGTCACGGAACTTGATAATTTATGAATTGGGTTTATCTATTGAGATTTTAGTTATACGTTTTTATACCTTCTGGCTCGCGTAATGTTTGGCGAATATTTAAAAGCTCGTGGGTCCATCCCCACCGGGTCAAACCCTTTTTCTAATGAATTTATAATGAATCTGAAACATGTTGGACTTCGTACGTCATAGACAAGTAAGAATGTGGTACCTGGAGTATGTGTGTGCCTTGATGCTGCTCAAACAGCTCCATCGCCAGGCCTGCAGCCGTTCGTCTGTTTTGAGCACCTGCAACAATACAAAGAAATAATTTGTTAGGTTCCCTCAAATACCTGATGTGCTAATAACACCGCTATAGATTTAAAATCTAATTTGTGATAGTAAGGTAAGGTATTTTGGGTTCTTTGTGTCTTCTTAACTCCCCTTAAAACAAATACTTATAAGTGCTTGTCTCTCCTGCTCTATCATAAAAAAATTGAAACAAAATTAACTTTAAATATAGTTTTGAAGATGTTATTCTTTAAAACGTGATACCTATATTTAGATACAACGCAGCAACGAAAGGAAAAGGTAAGCCTATAATTTTTATTAGCGAGAACAAAGGAAATGCTGTAACGTGATACGAGTAGATCTTATCTGGGGTTGTTTCTGACAAGGAGACAGTAGCTGACAGACTTACGTTGTTTATACGAGTTCTATGTCAGATTATTAGTAGAGTATCACACTTACATATAAAAAGTTTGTGTTTCCCAAAATTAAAAAGTGACTCGTCGTTCGTATAGTGTTAGATAACTAAACCCAAGTTAAAAAGAGTTTTAAATATTTAAATTTAATACTGGGGGTATTTAAAACATTACAGGGGGGGGGGGTTGGGGCAAGGAAGGGGGAAAGCAAATAGATAAAACCCAAGTAGTCTTTTTCTTTCGTAACAAACATATTATTAATTAGTCCTCAACATTTTGTAACTAGGCTGAATTGTCAAGTGTAGTAGAATTAATGGAGATGCGTTAAGCGCGACAAGATAACCGGTTTAAATCCTGGGAGAAATAAATTAGTGTCGGACAGGATCATCCCAGGTTCGGTCACATGCCCCAAGTGAAGTCTAAGGAATTATGGGAAATTTGTGAATCAGTTTTTTGTCACATTTCTGACTCATTACATCAATGAACTTAGAAATCGTGATTGTATGTAATAGAAGGAGACATTACGTAAAAACGTGCGTACTTGCACTAGTAATATTGCGGTGGTCGTGACTGTCCGTCTGTTTGTCGCCGACGTCACGACCCGTCGTCACGAGCGGACACGCGTGTCCTTGCTAGCTAGTCACTTTCAATGACATTCGGTCATCATTCCCAAATTTTTGAAAATACAGCTAAAACATTTTGCAATTATGTTAGTTGTAAAAAATGAAAGAAAATAAAAATTAATTATTGAGGTTTAAAAATGCATTCTTCTTAAGTCGACTTACTCTCTGTAGTTTATTCGAGTAGTACAAATTTAAATTTTTATTTAAATTACACTATTCGTGTTTTGAACCGCTAAAAATGTTTTATTTGAGCTGTTCTTTTTTTTTCGTGTTAAATTACATATAAAAGGCTTGTTAAAGTTATAAACCGAGGCCGTAGTCCATTACAACTACACTACGTTTCGTATGCTTCTAAATAAAGTTTATATGAGTGAGGTTAGATCAAACAATGAAATCATGAAATCTAGAAGCAAAGACTGATTCGAAATTACTATTCATGTAAGTGTTACATATCGTAACTTTGCCGCTGCAATGTACAGATTATAGAAATAGAATAATGTAGTAGTTCCTAATTTCGAAAAACTACTAAGATCTTCTAACGCTGAGACTGAGTCAATGTTATAAAATACAATGTTCTATAAATTTGTCATAACGACATTTACGTTTAAGAAAACAGAATATCCATTTCTGCTGTGTGACATTTTCAAACGCTGGGGACACCATACGTTTCTTTTTAAAGGTATTTTTTACTATATTATTCATTTATTTATCTAACGTGTATATGCATAATTATCACAAAACAAGGCAATACAAACTATTAGTAGCACCTTAAAATGTATTAATAAAATTTATATCTTCATATATCAGAAAGGAATGCACAAAATATATTTTTGCTACAGCACAAGATAGCACAACTACGGTACAAAAATATAGAACTTTGTTTTTCTTGTGTTGACTTTTGGAATTAAATTGTATTACGTTATAAATCGAGAAAAAAAACTGTTTTTCATTTGACTGATACATTAGAATTAGCATTGATGTTGACTATAGTCCAATTTGTTTTCAACTCCTGTACAGACCGCTATTTTGAAGGATATTTATCGTCTTCAATCCAAAATAGGTAAAGTTAGATAAATCAAATCACAAATAATTTATTCATGTAGGTAGCTTAGTACACACTTCAGAACGTCGAAAATTTAAACCCTTAAATTTATATTCCCATATAAGGTCGTAGAACGAATAAGAGGAACTGGCAAGAAATTTGCCGCCACTCCTTTTATCGGTTAATTTTTGTTACAAATGCTTTATGCACTTGATGTCTACATCTTTTTCATTGTTAGATCGGGTTCCTCCGAATCCCAAGCATAACAGTTTGTAAATATACATAAAATCATGGAGTTCCTACTAGTCGGCGATATCAAAGCGCGAGTCGCTATGTTTTGTTGAATTAAATCGTAATAAAGAACACGCTCGCAGTATCGCAGCATCGCTGGCCCTAAACTCGGGCCATGTGAATTTTATCCTTATCAGTGTAAAGTCGCGGATACACGGCCATCTGATGCGCTTTCTCATTTTGGTTGTTTTCTGAACTGTGGTTTCCTGTCGCTCTTTTTAACAGATATGATGTTTATAACAATTATATTAATTGCAGGAAAGATGAAATGTGTCCGAAAACTAATTGTATAATCTTCTTGACATTGATATATTGATAACATTTATCCCTACAATCACATTAATAATTATAAATATTGGTCAATTGGAGTGCAATGACAGTGTTCACAACGGTTATCAGTCACTCCAGAATAAAAGAAAGGAGAAAAATGAGATATACAAGATGGGTGAAACAAATGAAGACAAGAAAATAAAAAAAAAAATTTTTTTTTCATATAAACATTCCTCTTTGAAACAATCTTGCAAACAAGAAAATAAGATTTGGAAGATATATACGGACATCGTTGTTATTAATTTCAAAGCCACCTTCCAAACTTGTATTTGTCTTTATAAGCAAAATTTTAAGAAACAAAATCAAAAATTCATCACGTATCATCAATTTGTTATTACAAGGAGCCGCCGTTGGTTCTGCTCGATCGACCCCAGGAACAAATTTTTATTAAGGCAGCTAAGACTTCGTATAATTTTCTCATTACGGTACAGAGCGCGGCATTAACCGTAAGACAGATCTAAACGTTATTGCGGCTGCAATTTGTGGAAGCGCTAATGCCGTCACATTAACGGGAAACTTTTTAATAATGCGCCATTAAAGAGGTGCTCCGGGATTTGGGCGGGAAATGTCAAATTGGCGCGACACTGTACAATGTATCTGTATTCATGATATTAATACTTATGTATGTAATAAATTGACAATTGAAGCAGTGACACCAAATATGACGTTTTGAAAAATTTGATAGCAAGAGTTATTACAATGGTATTATTCTAAAATTGTTCACTAATTGTGATTCAGAAAAGATTGGGTTCCTTATAAGCGTTAATGTAATTTTTTATTTAATATGTAATAACACTTAAACAATAGATTCTTACAGTTTTAAAGAATTTAATTTCGGTTTAACTTATCGACTTAGTCAGAAGTTAATAATAAGATTTGTCTTATATATTATTTAAAAAAAGGATTTGTTTGTTTGTTGCTTAAAACAGGTTTTAAATTCATAGCTAAAGATATTTTATATTCTAATTCTAAAGCTTACCAAAATCTGCCAATTCACAAACAAACTGACAAGAAGGTGGGTAATTCCTATTTTTATTGCGAAAAAGCAATAATTTATCTGTATTTGTCCATTTAGACATGTGCGGGCAGTGCTAACATTGACCGGGGGTGTTTTCTCGGGGCCAAATTAAATAAAACTCACGCCTAATAGAAGGGCTAGGGCTCGGCCATTTTTTTTAGGCTCCGGTAACGCTTTTAACTACGAAATAGTTAAGGTCATATTAGTTTAAATGTTACATAAGTAGTACATACACACTTAAAAAGATATTTGTTATTTTTAGAATCAAATCATAAAATTATATTAACTACAATGATTTTTTAAAAATATTATGTTTCATTACACCGCGTTAAGCGCGAGAGGTCCTGTGTTCTAATCCCAGGGAAATAACGGATTGTTTTAGCCGGACAGGGCGCAGGAGTCTGATCAACTTCTTACCTGAAAAGGAACCGATAAATGAAACCCAAAAAAACATTTGTTCGCACCCACTGGGGAAATGGAATTTCGCTTTTCTATGTATTATTAAAAAAAAAAATCTTTGGAATTTTAATGACAATTATATGTAATATGTAATGTCTTATAATGTAGTTTAAATATTTTATAAAATGTTACTATTTTGTAAGAAGTAGGATGTGGAAATTTCAAGGTCATAAATAATTGTTAAGGAAAATTTTTCAGCGATAAAAGAAGTTCCATAATATATTACGTGGATTCCTCTCTTAATAAGCGAAACTTGCAACCCCAAGAGCGGGCAGTGTTGATTGGCAACCCCCAGAGGCGGTACTTGACCGGAGTTGCCTTAATGAAGAATTACCGCCCTTTGTCCGGACTTAAGTGTATCGATTTATTGGCCTTTTCACAACAATTTATCTCGCTTATGACTATATTTTGATGCACAACTGGATAGCAAAAGTTATTAATTTCAAGGGTGTGATAAAAAAAATATTTTTTTTGATACTGTGATTTTTCTTAATGCCACATGTATCTGTTAAGAGAAAAAAATAAAAACTATAGTTATATTGTCCTTTTTGAAAAGGTGTCGGTCTTCTCCACGTGTTTTGTTTAGTCTTTATTACTAAGAGTTTAATTTTTTTCTCTATGGTTTACTCTGTTTAACCGTAACTTTTCCCTATAAATGTAAATAAATTATATTATTACGCTTTGTCATTCCACTCGTGACATTAACAGAATGGGTTAACATTCAAAGAGGAAGAAGAAGACTTCTTATACTAAACTATTAACTCCAGCAAAGTGGAGAATGCTGATTTTCAGTGATGCACCACGTTTGACATTTGAAGTAAAATGTATTCTCTATTAATCTA